CTTCTTCTTCTTCTTCTTCTTCTTCTTCTTCTTCTTCTTCTTCTTCTTCTTCTTCTTCTTCTTCTTCTTCTTCTTCTTCTTCTTCAGAACTGGGGATTGAACTCAGGCCCTTGCGCTTGCCAGGGAAGCGCTTATTCCACTGAGCCATCTCCCTGGCCCCCAGGTCTGTTTTGACACTGATGTATACACTATTATTGTGTTCCCTTTCAAACTAATAAAAAGAATGATGAATACCAAATCAGACTTGAAAGGGACCATCTCAGACATTATTGAGAAATTCAGTTCCTTCAGTTTGCAGTCATATGTACTGAACTTCAGAGGATGAAAGTAATTTATCTAAAAATAACACAGCTAGTTAATGGCAGAAGATTGCTGTCTGGGATTTCCAGAATAGTATATTCTTTTGCCCCACACAATCTTACAACCACACTCTTCATCGGATTATCACAAAAACACTGTCTGTTCAAATATGTATTATATTATATATCCTTCTAAATGCTGTATGTTCTTGTAGTAAGACTGTTAGACTGTTTTTCATAATTTTGTATGAGTGGCTAAGTGTTGCAAGCAAGGTACTCTTTAGTTAATGAGAATTTAAAACAGTTGCTGTGGTTTCTAAGGGCAACTAATTTATGCCTAGAATGAAGAAATGTTATATAAATAGTAATGGCATTATAGAATTTTATTGAATGGGTGACATAGCACTATACTCTTTCACTTGACTGTGTTTCCTTTTCAGAGATTTGAAATAAATTTCTCTATGTCATAAAGAGTTAGGTTTCTTTTTTAATATCTGGTTAGCTCTTTGAGTGTGTTTTGCCTTTTTGCCATCAAATTTGTAGCAAAAAATGTCACATTTTACAGGCAGCATAGTGGAGGGGATTCCCTAATTTCTTATCTCTGTCATGTGGTTACTTTGGAATTGAAAAAATATCACTTACATATGATTTATCCTATATATCAACACTGATATGTTACTATAGAGTAAAGGATAAACTCAGTTATAAGGAGATCTTTTGCTCAATGCTTGGAGATAGACTTTTTAATTCTTTGCACATTTATAAAGAAGAACAATTGAATTTCTGAGACCCATGTAAATGGCCCAATATGTTAGATATTGATTTGGCTTGGTATATCATTAAAAGTAGAAGAAAGACAAAGATAAAGAATTTTTTTGCTAATATGATGGTAATTTCAAGCAATAGTCAATATCCCTAGCCATGTAATTTCATCTGATGTACACTAAAGAGTTCTAAATGCAGTTTTATAAGTAAAATATTATAACATATTGAAAACATTCATCAGTCACATAAGAGGAACATTTAAAGTAATTTATGTTTGAATGGAATCCAAATCACAATTCTCAGTGAGGGTAGATAATAAAATGAGTTCATATACTGCATTTCTTGTTTCTTATTAACAAAGTCAAATTAAGATTCCAAGCTGAAACTGATCTATACTTTGAAGTGCATCATGAAAAACAGCAATGCAAAGGCTGTGTATTGTCACAAGCTTTGAAGTCCATGGTTGGAAAGTAAAACAGGTACCTAATATGTTTTCATAGTGCTTGAAAAACAGAGGAGAATAAAGACAAATGTGCAGTGCTAGACTTCAGCTATGTGCTCATAAAATCGGATTATCTGTTTAAGCACATTGCTTTTCCCTGGGGACCTGCGGATATATCAAAGTGTTGCTATCAATTTCATACAATTGGTTTTTTTTCTGAAAAGCAAATGATAAAAAATTCAGTTCAAGTGTTTATGTGTAAGTAGTACTCTTCTTTTCATCTGTTTTAATATCTAAATTCAAAAGCAAAAAGGAAGAGTAAGATATTGGCAAAAGGAAATGGGTATATAAGGAAACTGAAAAAATATTTTCAAGACTGATGTCATCCAGTGATGGTAAATGGGAAAATAATGAATGCTCCTGTAAGGATTTTAAAGTCACCTATAAAAGGGGGAAAATGT